TTGGGTTACCCCGATTCTGAATTGGGATAGCCGGATTCCGGATTGGGCGGATTCCAATCCGGGGTACAACATATATAATAAAATATGGACTAATTTATTTGTAACCATAGGTTACTGTAACCGTAAATAAGTTCAGGTGCAACGTAATTATCAAACCAATTTTTTTTTATAAAAAGAATATTATATAAATGATCGATATCATGCAAAATCAATAATAGCAAAGTATATGTATGACATCGATGATATAATCAGAAACGTACATATATGAAAAGAAAATAAACTGTATCTTAGTTCTTTTTATCACAACAAATGAAAATAAAATTGTTGCCCAAAAATCTCAATAGTTTGTATCGAAAGTTCAAGGAAATTGTGACAGCATTTTTGTTGCTATATAATACATAATGTGCCAGTTTTAATAACTTTTCAAGTTTTCATGAAGTAAAGCATAAACACATTACAAAAACCTAAAGAAATTATATGTATCATGTGATTTTTAATTTACAAATTCAATTTAAAAACTACTTAGAATCATTAATCTAATTTTAATTGAAATTGATGACGTATTTATTTTGAAACAAATGATCCGGCAATCCGATCTTCAGTTTGAACGAAAGTTTTACTTTTTATTTTTTTACGAAGTATTATAAAAATTTTCCGATTTCATGAAATTGGGATCTCCAGACACCCCATTTCATTTTCCGATTTTAAAATCTTGAAAAACAAAGAAGCTTTTTTCAAACTCATTCAGTTTCAAAATGGGTCACTTATTTGTTAACTTTGAAACCCTCTAATTTGAGCGATTTTGTTTAAAGGATTCGTTTTTGTAAAAATGTAATGAATTGTGAGGGACCAACATGAGGTTGGTTCCAACGTGAGGTCAATTAGTATTTAAAGTCTGCCAATGATTAATAATCATAAAAAACACTAATTGACCTCACGTTGGACCAACCTCATGTTGGTCCCTCACAATTGATTATTTTTATTATACTCTACCCTCATTATAACGCTGTCCGTTATAATAAGTATACATATGTAATCCATTATAATAATAGCGGGTTTACTAAATATAATCTGGTGTAACAGGATTTATATACACAGTAAATCGCATATTTATAGGTTGACCCTAATTATTTATAACTACAGTCAAAGCCCAATACAGCAATATAGCGAAGTTCACATTCTGATCTAATGCCTTCATTTTGTTATTTCAAAATATTCGTTATCAAAAATTTGTAATCTCGAGCTTTGACTATATAATGTATAAATACAAATAAAAAATTAAGCAACCAAAGTTTTTATTGGTTGTGCTGTTCTACACTTAAGATCACATGTTCATTTAATAACCAATTAGATATCATATCCGGTATAGGAAAAATTTTCACGTGTTCGTTAATTTGAATTTGTACTTTAGTTTTTAAATTTTATCCAACAAATTTATAATGTCTCGAATTTTTTCGCGTCGAAATCGGAAAGAACCGAAAAAAGTAAATCTGAAAACTGCTTACATGAAAGAATTTTTTGATAGTGATGCAAAGTTAATCCACTTCTAGTTGTCAAAAGTGCAATTGCAAAAAGGACATTTGAGGCTGGATATTTTAAAAGTAAACTTCAAAAAATCTGGGCCAAATGGTATCTATTAAATAATTAAACTTAATCCGCACCCGCTATAGGCATGGTTATTATTTAAAATTTGGTCCTGATAAACCGATCCATTATATAATGGATCCGGTTTAATGGGATCCGTTATAATGAGGGTAGTTAATTTCAACAGAGTGTGAATAGGTTTGAATTTATAACGTTTAATATTATCATCGATTTAAAATTTAATTTTCACTAATAGTCCTAATAGTTTTTCTAATATTATATCATTTGCAATAATTTCTGAAAAATGTGAAACCTGATTTATTGAAACTTATACGAAATTATAAGGTTGTAATTTAACACAACCCTACCTGTATGGTAGACTTGAAATTTTATTTTTTATAAGTAAACACTCTTTTTAATGAATAGGGCTAGAAAATGCTAGTATTGCTCTTTTTTCATGTTAGGGCAAAGATAGATTATAGGAAAAATAACTGAAAAATTTTTTTCTTCTACAAACTGTAAGTACATATTATCATTACTTTCCCACATCCGTCCTGCCTTGCGTTTCCATATTGTACTACTTTGTTATCTGCTATGTACATACGTACTGTACATACATGCTCACCAGAGCATAAATCTTGTCAGTTATTGAAAATGCCGGAGGTTTTCGTTTGCATGTGACAATTTCCGGCCCAATTTTTAACAGACGGGAAGTTTTCTGTTTTGCTATAATAATCTACTCCGACTACAGTTTATAGACTCATATCTAAATTCCGATTAAAAAAACCATTGATGGAAAAAGGCATATTTCATCACCCGGAAATTTTGTGCACTGGTGCTCCCAAATTTGTATTACTGTCATGTATGACTTTACTATATTATCTCGGAGTTAAACCATGTTATATATAATAAAATACTCTAAAGTTTCTATTGTAACACTTCAATCACAATTTAGTTTCCTTTATTATTGTTTCTCCAAAATTAACCTTATATAAAATATGCTAAAAAATGAAGAAGAAAATTTATATAATATGTCGAATTCGGACAAAGAATTAGCACGATTAATTGAACCGGGAGACACCGCAGAAAAATTTTTAACAATTGTATCTAATGTAGTGAATATTATTGAAGTAATCATAGTGTTATATAAGTCAACAGAATACAACGAGCATGTTAGTAATGCGGTAATTCGTAGAATAACAGAAGTTATAAAAGTTATTCGTTCATTAAAAAGGTGTAATGATGAATATAGTGAATTTCTGAATTATCAAAGTTTTGAGACTATACATATATTTTTCTTTGATATTCAAAAAATGATAAAATTCATTAATGAAGAGATGTTATTAAAAATATCATTAAAGTATATTCAAACAAAATATATATTTAAAGAGTTGATGACAGAATTTGAAAGTTTTGTGAATTTTACAATTAATACGAAAACTCTTTCAAAGAAAAAAAGAAACAAGAAAACTAATTATAAGAAATATTTTAGAGATATTAATGAGGTAATTCTTTTTTTTTTTATTTTTAAATCATAGATATATACTAATGCTAATTATTAATATCGTTAGTGCCATAATTTATCTAGCAGTATTGTTTACCCAATTGAAAGAGATGAGGCTAATCAATTATTCGGTGTTTTTTTAGTAATGGCAAAACTTTTAGAAAAACAGTATAAAACTTTTGAATGGTATTCAAAATTAAAAGATCATAAAAGTTCTACTAAACAAATTAATCTTGGATTATGTAATGAAGATAGTATTAAAACTGCAAGTGAAAAAATATTTAGATGGTATTTAAATTCTGCAGAAAGAGGAAACATATTTGCAAAATATAATCTTGGATTATGTTGTAAATATTGTATTGGAACAACCAAAGATGAAGAAAAAGCATTTAATTACTTTTTAAAATCTGCGGTAAACAATGATGTTGATGGCCAGTGTATTCTCGGTCTATGCTATAAAAACGGTATTGGAATTGTTAAAGACGAAAAGAAAGCAATTGAATGGTATTTAAAATCCGCAAAAGGTGGAAACTCTAATGCACAACATGATCTTGGATATTGTTATCAATACGGCATTGGAATAGGCAAAAATGAAAGGAAAGCATTTGAATGGTACTTAAGATCTGCAGAAGGTGGAAATTCTAATGGGTTATATAAACTTGGCAGATGTTATCGATATGGTATTGGGACAACCAAAAATGAAAAGAAAATTTTTGAATTAGAATTAAAAGCTGCAGAAATTACCGATATTTATGCACAAAATAGTATTGGATGGTGCTATGAACACGGAATTGGAATAGATAAAGATGAGATAGAGGCATTTAATTGGTATCTGAAATCAGCAGAAGGTGGAAATATAAAAGCACAAAACAATCTTGGATTGTGCTACAGAAATGGTATTGGTACGGTTCAAAATCTAAAAAAAGCAACTGAATGGTTGCAAAAAGGGCATAATAATAATAAAAATATGCCAGTAACTAAATGCTATGAAAATTCAGAAATTAGGTATTTTTTAGAAAAATCATTCACTGAAAAGAAATATTTATTATCATGGATCCCGTTTAATGAGCTAAAAATTAATCGAATGATTGGAAAAGGTGGATTTTCAACTGTCTATCTTGCTGACTGGAATGGACAATATCGATCGGATAAGGTTGCACTTAAATTGGTTCATGAATCAAAATTTTGTTGTAAAAAACTTTTAAAAGAGGTAAAAATTCAATGTCACAGTTGATATTGGATCTTCTGCTAATGATTATTAATTTTTTGTTGTAATATTTACAGCTAAAGATACATTATGATATTGGAAGTGAAAATCATACATTTTCACAATGTTATGGAGTGTCAAAACATGAACCCACCGGTGATTATATTTTAGTTATGCGTTATGCACCAATAGGGTCTTTACGCAAAAATCTTGGTTCGATTGCACAAATGAAATGGAGAAAAAAATTAAACTTGCTATTAGGTATTGCTTTTGACATTCAAATAATTCATTCTCATAATATTATTCATCGGGATTTACATAGTGAAAATATATTGCAAAAAAGGTTGGATAGTGCATATATCAGTGATTTTGGAATTTCAATATTAGTTGATGAGGCATTAAGCATGATATCTGAAAAAATTTATGGTAATTTGCCTTATTTGGCACCAGAAATTTTACAAGAGCACTATTATGAAAAGGCATCAGATATTTATTCATTTGGAATTATAATGTGGGAAATCTCTTCAGGACGATCGGCATTTTTTAACAGAGCTCACGATTTAAAACTTACAATTGAGCTTATAAATGGAGAACGACCTAAAATTTTAGACGGTACGGCACAATGTTACAAGGAAGTTATGGAAAGATGTTGGGATAGTGATCCTACAAAACGACCAACTGCGGAAGAAATTTTTAAAATTATAGAAAATTGGAAAAGTAATGAAGAGATATTAAAAGAATTTGATGAATCGGATATAAAAATGGAAACTGTCATTAACGAATTTGCACTATTAGAAGTTCATCCTAAAGCAAATGGCAAGAGTAAGTTGATATCATATCAAAACAATAGTTTTGAAAAAGGTAGCAGGTCAATAGATTTTTCACCAATTACATGTAGTTACAAGCTATTTGACAGCCACACTTGTGATCTTTAAGCATAATCGAAAATTTGGTGTTATTTTTTTTAAATGATTGATAATAAAATTTCATGCTATTATATTTTACATATTCTCGAAATAAACTTGTTTGCTCAAAATTTATACCTCTTTTCTTATAATTTATATAACCTCTTCTCTTAAAATCGGATCGATTTTGTAAATATGTTTTTTAAGTAATGTCATGATTATTTTTATTATATTTTGATTTCAATAGAATATGAATAGATTTGAATGCTATGATCATTAATTAAAATTTAACTTTCACCAATACTCCTAATAATAGTTTTTTCCAATACGATATCATTTGCAATAATTTCTATGAAACAAGAAGTGGTAATAATCCAAATTAAACCATCAACAATTGAATAATAAACCAAAGAAGTTAAATTATTTGTTAAAGCTAAACTAAAATAAATAGCAAAAAATAAAACCCTAAAACTTCTTCCAACTACATTAAATTTAATAATTTGAAAAGATAAATAAATTTTATTATAAAGAACTAAACCTACTTCAAAAGATAAATTAATAATTCCTGTAACAAAAAATATTAAAAAAATTCCATCACGAGATGATGGACGAAATGAACCAAAAATTATAATTTGTATAGTATAAAAAATGAAAAAAAATAATATAAATATCGTTTTAAAAATTATTATTAAATTTTTTAAAGTTACATCATTAAATAATAAAAATTTTGGAAAACTAACAATAGATTCAATTAATGAAAACATTGTTAATATCCATAATGATATAATAGCTATAGAACGAGGATCAGCTTTTAAAGAATTCATATCAGTCATTGCATTTATTGATACTGATATAATAATATAACATATAAAAGCCGATGTAGAAAAAATACCTCGTTTTACAGATATGCGAACCGATTTGTTAATTATAAAAATTAAATCGATTAATAAATAAATGATTGATATAATGAATGCGAATAACATGAATATAGCTTCAAAATATGAATTGTTGAATGGTGAAGATTTTAACATTAGATAAATCCATATTATTATGAATAATATCAAAGATATAATTTTTAAAATATTTATGACTTTTTGAATGTTTATATGCGTAGTAACAGTGGAACTGATCGAATTATGTGTAGTAGTAGCGACTTGGGTTTGGTCAAGTTGATGAGTAGTAATCGTAATCGGTGATGATGATGGTGTTAATTGTGTGCTAGCTATTACACGACCAGCCATTATTACGATATTACAATGAGTGGACTGGGGTAGAGTGAATTAAAGCGTGAATTAAAAAAGAATAACATTGATGTACTGCTATTTACATGAATGAAATACATAAGTAGGCATCGTACAACGATAATAGATAACTAAAAAAAGTAATTGAATTGACAATGTATGTTTGACAAATTATGGAAAATTTTCATATCTTATTAGACAGTTTACATATACAAATTTAGCCTGTATGTTATTTAAGCTAATTTATACTACAAATACTGAAATAGTGTAACGAACTTGTACTAATCAAATGACTGATAACCTTATTCCGTGTAAGATGTTAATCATAAATCTTGCAGTATATACTTTATATTATTTTTGGGTTAAAGTTTGTAACAATTATAAAATTTGCTACGTAGCTCATCGTCAAATGATGATTGATCTGATTAATTAATTAGATTAATTAAGTTGCCTAGTTTAACATAAATGTCTAGAGTGATTTAGAGACAGCTAATTTAAAAGGTAATAATTGGCTAAAAAGAAAATAAGCTATTCGGAATAATTTGCTCCGGCTTACTGGCTTATTGTAGTGCAAATTATCTAATCGCATAACTTAGCGGATCGTTAGTCTTTAAATTTTATCGTTAGTCTTTAATTTTCTGCTGCTTTTTTTAAAAAATTGTATCTCCCCAACGGGCGAGTGCAAATTTCACATAAAAAAAAAGCATTGTTTTATAGGCCTTATTCAAGACTTCAAGGCAATGTATTTTTTTTTACAGAATTCCAAATATTCATCGAAGAGTTATGATTCTGGATGTCAAATATACTGCTGTACCACAGCAATTATGCACATATATTAAATACGTAATTAGATTCAGTACAGCAGTACCAAAAAGCTTGTTAATGATAATTATCTAAAATATTTGAAATGAATAAAGAACTAAGAAAAAAACCAATTCCTTATACGTATACAGATATTGAATATTATAGCGATATAACTTATTTCAAAATAAAAAAATTTAGTCATTTAATTTTTGGAAACAAAAAATGTCCATCCTTAACATTAAACTTTACATTTCCTCCATCTTTAATAATTTGCCATCCATTTCCTAATCTCGAATGTTTCCATTTCCTTTCTTCATTACTAACACCAATCATATCTAATAATTCATTCATTTTTGTTGGCATTATTGGTTGTAATAAAATTCCTGAAATTCTGGCAGTTTCAACAGCAAAGAATAATACACGATTTAAAATCTCTTGTTTATCTGGATCTTTAACTAAATTCCATGGTTCATTATCTGTGAAATGTTTGTTGGCCTTTTATGATCAAAAATAATAGTTCGTAATGAATTAATATAATTAGTAATTAGTGAATTATAAAAGTAGTGAATTATAAAAGTAGTGAATTATAAAAGTAGTGAATTATAAAAGTAGTGAATTATAAAAGTAGTGAATTATAA